GAACGCCAACAAATAAAACACACTCAAAATGACGCCCGTGGGATTCGAATCCGGCCCGGGTTTCATCGTGAATCGAGTTAGAGACTTGCCAGTTGCGAGGCTTAAAACCCCAAGACTAGAGAGTCCCTAGGGGCTTATTAGAAGCCGATTCGGCACAATCTAAACTACTAGGAAACACGCATATAGTAACATTGACTGAATACCAATATCATCAATATACTAGCATCCATGGAGTAGCCCATCATCACCATGTCATAGAATTGATGATTCTATGATGTTGATCATGGCGCACGCCATGTCTATCAGTTGTGTTGTATGATGATATCCTTAGCGTGTTTTTAGCCTAGCTTCAATTAGAAACCATTTGGTTATCCTTGTTGGGTTGACCTGACAACTTGGTTTCCTCTAGCTGATTATCGACCGAAAGACCTCTAATATTCGGGAAAACCACAAGCGATAGCCCTCTGCGATAAACCTTCATGTGAAAGCAATTAACTGTCTACTGTAGGATCCCGTATCTGATCATATCTGTTTTCATTTCCACTGCTGTACTTCCTCCCGAGCTCGAATCGGCATGCATGCCATCACAGTCTTTTAAAAGAAAGCTGTACTTTCCGGCCTTGCTCATTAAACCTTCAGATTGCACCTAGACATGCAAGCCGGAATCATAACGGTGGACATCGCACCGGTCAGAGGTGAGATACAATCCAATGTTCGTCACGAGAGATCAATCCCTACAATTGGTCGTACATTGGTAGCACCAATGAGCTCCCTCAAACGAGAGCATTAGTGAAATGATGCCTCAATGATGCGGTTACGGATAGCCACGATGTAAGGCAGCCGGAAATCCCAGGAGCATTCAACCCTATCGAGAGCTTGACATAATGGCACAATCTCGCTGATGATCTACCTAGTCTCAATATGCCAGCCACACGGGCAGTTGACGACAATACCCACCCTGAGCTGCTGAAATCCAGCAGCTCGTTCAAGAGAGTTTCGGGCTCATTGAATCCTATGGGCTCATTGAATCCTATGCACTGATAGCTCCTCGTCTCGGATTGACCGTTCTCAACAGGCCCATCAAATCCCACTCATTCTACTAGGAAATTACCAAGGACGGCCCCGTACCACGAGAGCCAACCTCCATAGCTCTCCCCCGTGAAATGCAACCGCGGCAGTCAAATGCCAGCTAACTACAACGCAATGCACAGTTGATAGAAACACATAAAAACTCGGTATTCACAAACGACTGCTGGCGACTGTATGATCATGTCCATCAATTTTTTTAGCATATTTCCGATACTCCTGCTTGGCAATTGTAGCGAGATGTACCTGAGACCGCGTGAGATCCAATACACTCGAAAGGATGCTAGCCGGGGTTTCTCACTGCGTCCGGCCCATCAGCGATCCTCAAGGGACGGGCCAAGGCGTAGAGGTAGGCCAAGTCGAGATCTCCGCTGACGCCAGCGCCACCACATACCTGACTTTCCTTCAACGACATCCGTTCGTAACGGTGGCTACTTGGATGCAGCGGTCGATAACTCTGCATGCCATCCTGGGGGCCACCACTTTGATGGCTGCTATCTTCGATAGAGCTCCTCTCACACCAACTGCCTGTTGAAGACACGAGAGGCTTGCATAGGAACAAGAGCACACAGCTTCCATAGGATGATCGAAATATTTCCTCGGTGCATTTGAATATCAGACAAACGCGGATGCCATTCTGGAGCACCCGACGAAGCACTTCCATATGTGATTATCTATCGTGTAGGTTTCATTACTAGTATAATCTACCCTACAGTAACGGTCAACACCATACATCATCATCCGGCCAGATTCAGCGACGCCAAGTAGGACGAAAAGGCACGTATCACTACATCAATCTCTGCCGCTGCCCTCAACACAAGTGCTCTAGCAGCCTCGATTTCAATCCGGCACTCAGCGACTTCTGTCATGACTCCCCCGTGGTGGGCTATTCTGTAAGTGAGAGCTACATAAGACTCCCCACCACCACCCTACAGCTTCCCAAACGCCTTCCGTTTATGGGCTCGGTCCACGGCTATCTCCAGAGCTCGTTCGGCCATCCCAATAGCTCTCATGCAATGATGAATACGACCTGGTCCTAGCCGTGCCTGCCGAGATTTATAATACTACATCAAATAAGGCTAGGATTTACCTGAGCAATTTTGAATCCATCTCCCTCAATGGCGAGCAGAGAGTCTTTCTTTTTGAGTCTGACTTGGTTGAATTCCACCAGTGCGTGACCGTGAGGAGCGTCATCATAGCCAAACACAGTGAGGGGTCGAATCACTCGGATACCCGGAGCGTCCATGGGTACCTCAGGCAAGCCTCTGTTGACTACTGCACGAGCAGTGATCAAGTACCACGAGCATCGACTGTTGCTGGTGGAGAGACTTCCCTTTTCCCGAGTCGACCTTGCCTAGTAGGATACCCACTTTGCAACGCTCATCAACGGCACCACTAGACCACCACTTAGTGCCTGAGGCATCCAGTCCGTCTCCATATAGAATCGCAAAAAGGTCAATTCGACTATTCGAATTGAGACACGCTATCATCATAACATTCAGATAGTAGAGGAGAGCGAGAGTAGTAAAAGCTCGCGCCGAGCCAAAGTTCATATGAATCCCGAACCAGTGCGAATCGCCATAGCCACGTCCTCACCATTAATAACATAATACTCCCCTTCCGTGGCGATGTCGATGGATATGTTACTAGCATCAGAGCTGGCGACGTTCGGCTCAGTCATGAGGAACGTGCTACGAATCTGTCCATCCAGGAGCGGCCTGAGCCAACGCTCTTTCTGCTCGGCATTGGCGGCCAAAAGCAGCACCTTGACAACAGAAAACAATCATGATGGACTGAGTCGATCGTTGCGAGATCAAAATATAAAAAGAACGAAAAAATCATGACATAACAACAATAAATCTATCAATTTGTAACTCAGTGAGACAACATTCATCCAAAAAGTGCAAGTTGCACTCTTTGGTAGGTTTGCACTGTGCAAGGCCATACCCGATACGGCTCGCTACCTCCATATTGCCAGTATCAGGAGCACTACAATTGGTAGCCTCCGCGGTGAGGAGGTACTTACCCATCACCTCACATAGATGGGCATACTCGAACGTCGACAATCCAGGACCTACCACCGATACAGAACACTCTTTAACGGAACGTGTCCATCAACACGTGCTTTCCTCGAGCTTTCTAGGAATGAACAAATTCCATAAACCCCTCCTTTTCGCCTCTGCCTTCATATCCTCCATTACAGGAGGGCACGTCCAACGATTGCTGCTCTTCGAATGCTGTTCTTTGTAGAGTAGTTCTCCTGAGACCAATGCCAGTCACTATACGCCGGAGAACTAACACTTCCGCTGACCTGGTTTCACCACCTCATCTACGAAAGCGTTCAACTGCCTAAGCATTTCTTGAGCACGCTCAGACATCATAGCTGGCGGCGACGACACTCCCGACATAATACAAAATGCCCGCTATCCATCGACCCACGGAGTGTTTAAGACTGACTCACGAACGCAACAGAGATATTGAACCACAGAAAAACGCGGACGGCTTCAATTTCACCATAAGACGTACAGATCTATTGATAAACCACAATTCGGATAGCGAAAGAATCAAGACGGATGAGGGCAACGGAAGCACCACCCAGAAGTAAATGGCTCAACACACAAGGAGGCGAGGGGGCAACCTCAGGCGTGGTAGAATCCCCAGGCGTCGACAGCACAAGTCAACAAATCTGTGGGAGTGCGGTGAAGTTCACCGGGTGAACGTAAAGTAGATTTCTTGCAATCTCACGCACTCTCGATATACCCCAACTATTGAGACGTTAGTGTCCAATCTTTTCTGTCTGTTCCCCTTATGCCACCCAGAGTCAGAGCAGCCTTGCGTTCTGCGGGAAGTGGTAGGAGAGGCGCGACCGGAAGCCCTACGATACCAGTTAATGAGACCGCTGATGATACCGTTGATGATACCGTTGATGATACCGCTGATGATACCGCTGATGATACTTATAATATTGCCGCTAATACTACGATACCCTTAAATGCCGAATTAACAAGTGAAGTTACTGCCGTGGAATCTACGAGTTCGAGGCAGAACGTGCAAGGGGCGATTGCCGATATAGAGGGGCGAATTGGTCGGGGCCCATTAAATTCCCGTCCACATAATGGGGGCTGTGCGGCTAGTGACTCCGAAGGGCAAATTATACCAGGTGATACTTCTCGATTGTCGACGGGAAGAGGCCTTGGCCTCATGGCTTACAGTGGCGGCGGTGGACAGACAATCGATTCGCAGCATGGGTTCCATGCTGGCGGTGTATCTGGCTCGGCGGAGCCCTTAACTATCAGTAATACGAGTGGTGGTACCCGCGGGGACTCAGCCGATGTCCTAGCCAGGCGACTCTCGCTCATCGAGAGGACGTTAGAGAGGTTGGCTTTGAAAGTGGACGAGATGAATGAGAAAGCATCCGAGCGCAGTGGTCGAGAGCCGACTGGAAGGGAGCGCAGAGAAGGGAAGCCAGCGGGCGGAGATGATCCGAAACCCCTAGACTCCGATTCGGATGTGAGTACTGCCTGTAAGCCATGGCAGCTAGGGAGGAATATGTGTCGGCTTATGCGTCGGGTTAACTCTGGAAAGATCAAGAATTTGGAGGCGTCTGCTATTGTTGGCCATCTCCAATATCCTCTTCCCGATAACTGGGATCTCGATGGGGTTGGATGCCTTGACAATCCCAAACTGTTGAGGTTGGCTGGGAAAATACCGCACCCAGCACTGAGGAATTTGCGTTCTCCCAGTTATATGCCGAAAGGTAAGAAGAATCGGCCGGTGGGGCAGAAGGAGATCGAAGCCCTCAAGTCGCCCACAACCCCCGATTGTTCCCGTTTCCTACGTCTCTGGGTGCGTCTGACGGAAGGTCAGCGCCACAGTGCACGTAGCCTCTACAGTGGTCTCTGCGATGTTTCTATCGACTACATAGAGCCCATAGTTGGAGCGTATAGAAATGATTATGTCGTGCGCAAATTGTTGAGCTGTATTGACGATGAGTCGGCTCTTCAGTACGAAGAGCTATTTTTCCGTGGGCTACATGAAGGGCTCCTATTGCACATCATGCACCAGTGTATCCCTGTCTTCGAGGGCGATTCTCTCGCTATATTGAAGCGTGACCTACAGCCTGGCGGGGAAAAGTTTGTTGCACCATTGTGTAAGAAGTTCGTGAAGAATTATGAGAGACTGATTGAGCGCGGCGGAAGTCCCTCCAATGATTATGTGATCTCTGTCTTCCTTGGCGAACTACCCCCGCACGTGCGTTCCCGTATGCGCAGGGTGTGATTTTTGCAAGTGTCAATTTCCATTCCTGAAATTTCCGAAGGAAATTTCGGAAAAATTTCCACGACCCTTGAATTTCCAGGAAATCTAACAAAAATGGCTATTTACTGATCTCTACGCACGTTTCGTTTATAAAAAAGCTCAATCTGTATTAAGAATAGCTCTCCGCATAGATAGAGTATCGTAGTGATGCTCAGACTCCGTTGTTGTGCGTAAAAGCCCCAACGGCTGGAATCGATCATCAAGGCGAGCGCTTACAAGTCTTCGCATGGCGATTCATGGCAATTCACCTCGCTCCGTCGAGCGCATCTATTTTCTCGCTCGCCTGTAACGCTCGAAAATGCAACTGCAAAGTAATTCATACCATGATAAGTAATAAGGAGATATACTTTTGATCCCAAGTATTTCCATGTCGAGTTCATCATCCACTGGACCGCCACCGGCGTCATGAGGTGCCACTTGAAACAACTTGAAGCAAGGTGAACTTGAACTTGAACTAAGTTCAAGTCTTGAAGTTCAACTTGGGGTTGTAGTAACCTAGTTACTTGGCAAGTAATACTTGCTTCTGTACTACAGCACCTGTACTACAGCGGTGGGAGGCCAAGCTCAGCCCGAGTTTTCACCAGGTAATGTGGTCGGGGGTCGAAGATAGAGCTTCTCCTACGCGACGAGGGAGCCATTAAGAGATAGGCAATATAACAGGAAAGCCTTCAAAGACATGGATAAACCAGACTTCTTCGAGATACTGAACAGAATTCGACCACCCAAAAACGAGGTCTTTCGAGAGCGAAAACCTGTCTCTCGCAAAGCTGCTTTGACGGATCGTCAGTCGTGACCGTGATTGACGCAACTACATCCCTTTCGAGTCATCGTTGGCTCTCGAACTGAACGCAACACGCAATTGACAATGTAACGCATGGACCCACGAAACGACTCTCCAACTCGTGATCTTGCTCTTCTGTACTTCCTCGATCCCGACTGCGCGCTAGCGCAGAAGCCCGGAAGCATCTTGGCGGAAATTTCCTGGAAATTCCGGAAATTTCCACCTTGAAATTTCCAAACACAGAATATCGTACTGAATTTCCACTCACATCACACCCTGCGTATGCGCAAGTACCAGACCTCTAAAGGGAGTCGGCGATCATTGATGGACGTCATGAATGATGCGAAGACAGCGGAGAGAGATCTACGGAAGCGGGCCACTGAGTTCAAGGATACCGTAGCGGTAACTACTGATCGTCCGGAATATAAACATAAGCCGTTCTCCCAACGGCATCTACCACCCAAGCCGGGTCAGGCCGAGAATCGTGTCGCATGCGTAGAAGGGTCATCGAGTGCGGTAGAGTCTCCGTCCGATCATGAGACTGTTGGTCTTTGTCGTGCCTCATCGATAGATGACGATGGCGATGATTATGTGGAAGATGGCGAGGATCCGTTCGATATATTCTGCTCCCTCGGAACCGGTGCCCTGATCGCAACTACTTGTGGTCATGTGTCCGCCAATTCGGATGACACAGGTATGCCTGCCCGTGATTATGAAGGGATCCGGAGCGATATCGAATCCCCTAGCGGGCAACCCTATAATCTGACGCGTTCGGTCAGTATCAAGTGCGGTGACGAGCTCCTGGTTAGTCCACCAGATGCTGGTAACCCGGTGACTTTGATAAGACCCGATGTGGCTACCAAGTTAATTAAGGAGGGATGTGCTCGTGGTCCTTATTCCTTGAGGGGTACTGGCTTCAAACTCACTGGAGTTACTGGAGGTGAGGCGATTACCGCGAAGACTTTCGTCGTCATGAAGGTTCACCTGAAGCCACTGGGGTCCCAGGAGTATTCCCTGTGTTCTTTCGTACAGGCATTGATCGCCCCGGGACTAACTCTGAAGTTCCTCATCGGCAACAACACACTCCATTCCTGGAACTGGCGTAGTTTCTGGAGGGGGGCCCCTAACCTCATCGTTGTGGATGTCGAAAAGCGATACAATAACAATCTCGATTCATGTCTGATCCCGAAGGAGTCTATTCGTTCGGAAACAGGAGAACGTTGGAGAATCGCACTACCCCTGGAGCGTAGTATGGGATTCCGTGAGAAGGCTCCTGACTCTCAAGAACATGCGAAGGTGCTTTGCGGTGCTGTCACGGTCATCCCGCAAGACGGGGTCCTACAGGTCCCGGTGACTGTTGGGGGCGTAGTCACTGCTGAGCATCCCCTGTTGATTACTCCCTCGCTGAGCTTGCTTCCGAAGGGCCTGGAGTTTCCCGAGTGTGTTGTAACTGTCGCGGCTGGCACCTACGCTGCCCGAATACTAGTGCGTAATCGTTCCGCAACGGATCAGCTACTGGAAGCTGGGACGATCTTGGGGGAGGCGACATGTATTGAGGAAAACTTCGACGTACACAACATGGAGACCATAACTCATCGTGCTGCTCTCTATCGCTGTTCAGAGCAGCGCAAGGCGTGTATCGTTGTGGGGTATCTTCCCACAACCACTGAGCGGCGCGTGGTGGTTCGATTTCCTGGGGAAGAGAACGAACTACCTTTTGCGGTTGATCCTTCGTATATCGGGATCCCGGAGGATGGGCGGGTATTTGAAAGCGGCGATGAGAGTACAGTGGTCTCTACCGGCTTGCCAAAGCCTCCACCATTACAACATCCCATTGAAGAGGTCCAAGTAGCTCTCATTGAATCCGTAGTTGGAGAGATACTCAATCCGGATGACCCAAAGCCCAAGCGTATCCATCGGCCCGCAATTACCCGCAAACGGCAAGGAGGGCCTTCGATGCTATCATGGAATATTAATGGTTTGAGAGGTTTCTTGAAGTCCGAAGCCAATGTGAGTTGTCTTAATCGCTTGGTCCGCAACGAGTTACCCGCGATCATGGTTCTCACTGAGACTAAGCTTACGCAGGAGAAGAAAGACAGGGCTTTCACCAAGTTGCTAGACTCTCTTCCCGTTCGGTACGATGTGTTCTCCGCTGAGTCGGCCGGCCGAAAGGGCTATGCGGGTGTGGCGGTCCTTCTGAAAAGAGCAGTTGACGTTGGCTACGACGATGGCCTTTGTCTTATCCACGAGCCTATTACTGGTATACCGTCCCGGTTTTTTGATGGGGAACAAGATGAGGAGGAAGATACTACATCGGGTCGAGTTCTTACCATAGAGTTGCGGCAATGCACTCTCGTTGCCGTGTATGTACCTAACTCCGGAGGTGACCTCCGTTTCCTGGAGTATCGGTCAAAGTGGGATGTGGCTTTCCGTCGATATATGAAGTGGTTGCGGTCGCGGGCTGGAGAGAAGCCTCTAATTATAGCTGGCGATCTCAATGCGTGTGGATCTGATCTTGACATTGGTGATACTCGAAGGGAGGCGCCACATAGTCCATCGATTCAGCCGTGCGAGGTTGAGGCTTTTGAGAGACTGCAGCGAGAAGTATCTTTATGCGATACATTCAGAATCGTCCATCCCGAAGTAGCTGGCGTTTACAGTTTCTATTGCAATGCGTATGAGAAGAAGCTTAACTTCGGTAGGCGGATTGATTATATCCTTGTATCCTCCGAACAGAGCGATTGTGTCGTAGACTCTACTGTGTTTTACGCGGAGTTCGGTTTGGGGTACCGACCTGATCATTGTCCGATACTTGCCGAGCTTCGACCCTCTTTCTGGGGGGCCACGGATGTTGCAGTTCAATGCGGATCGAACGATATCATAGGCCATTGCTCATTCGACGGGGAGTGTCACCAGGCTGCCGTGGAAACATTCGTTGGCCAGAAAGAGTCCCAAACGGGATCGGATGAGCAGTTCGAAGAACAGCGGGAGGTACGATGTCGCCTTATGCGAGAACTTATTGCGGGATTGAGATCTAGTGAGCTTCCTCCATCGACTCTTCTCGACTTGATAGCACCACTCCTCTACAGCGACGAAGTCGACCTCGAAGAAGACGCTAGAACTTGCGGTCTGTACAACGCCGTGAGTGCTATGGTATGCGATGTAGAGGCGAGTGAGTGCCCGCTGAGGGCTCTGCCGCGCTTAGATGAAGATTTTATGTGGCGTGAACCGCGACGATCAAGTCGACCTGATAGCTTGCCTACTTACAAGCCCCTCAAGCCCCGCCCGGCCGCACCTCCGCAGAATGTCAAGGAATGGTGCGATCTCACTTGCATCTTGATGAGACCTGCGTGGCGGGTAACTCGACAGAGAAGGCCCGGTTAGAAGAACTGGTTCTGAGGCATTGGGATGTATTTGATTATGAGGGCCGTGATCTTCCGGAGATGACTGGGGTGTTTCATGAGATACAGCTGTCTCCGGGCGCCCATCCAGTCTACTGTGCACCCTACCGTATGTCACCCGAGCAGAAGCAAGCCCTGGAGGAGCATGTCAAGGACCTTCTCTCCCAGAACCTTATCGAGCCGTCCCAGAGCGAGTGGCAGTCCCCAGTCATGTTCATCGCAAAAAAGGGTGGCGGCTGGAGGGTGGTCCAGGACTTCAGAAGACTGAACCAGCTCACGGAGATCCCTCGGTACCCGCTTCCCCTGGTTGCACAAGTGCTTGATGAGCTCAGTTCGTCGAAGATATACTCTGCCTTCGATGCCAAGAGTGGATTCTGGCAGGTGCCATTGGCTTCAAAGTCGAGATATCTCACCGCGTTTGGGACGCATGTGGGCCAGTTCCAGTGGAGGAGGATGCCTATGGGACTAGCGGGCAGTCCTCCGACTTATCAGCGCGGCATGAATCGTGCTTATGCTCCAATCTTATACCGGTGCTGTATTCTCTATTTGGATGACGCGGTCCTGTACTCGCTGCTGAGGGCAGGCCACTTCGAGGCATTAGAATTATTCTTTGATTTGACTCGAGATGCCCACATCACGCTGACTGCGAGGAAAATGCAACTCTTCCGCACAACTCTGAAGTACGTTGGAATGCGTATATCTGCCGAAGGCGTTCGTATGGATGAGGCTAAGGTGAATGCCATACTCGACATGCCGCTGGGACGAGACTCCCCACTCAAGAATATCCGGAGTTTTCTGGGGAGCACCAATTATTTCCGGAAGTGGTTGAAGGACTATTCTCGCGTCACCGCGCCATTGCGAGCGGTTCTCAAGAAGGACGGCGTTGGTTGGGACAACGAATGTGATATCGCGGTCGCCGAACTCAAGCGGTTGTTGACCTCTGACCCTCTCCTCGTTTGGCCGAATTTCAGCAAAGAATTTGAGTTGCACACGGATGCATCTGATGTTGGGTATGGAGGAGTTCTGATTCAAAGGGACGCGGAGCACAGAGAGAGAGTGATCGCTTACGGCTCGAGAGCCGTAGGTGATCTTGAGAGGAGTTGGACCTCTCAGGAGAAGGAATGTTACGCTGCCGTCATATTCGTCGAGGAGTTCCGGCCTTACCTGCAAGATAGACCCTTCAAATTGGTCACTGATGCTGCAAACTTGCGCTGGCTGCTGACTACCGAACACACCACGCCGCGTCTGATGCGTTGGGCTATAAGGCTCTCGGCATACGGCATTGAGATTGTACATCGGGAAGGGAGACTGAATGCGGTTGCTGATATGCTGAGTAGAGTCTCTCCCAAGCCGCTAGAGGGGCAGGGGGGCTCGACCGTACCCGTCGAAGTGGCGACAGTTCAGGAGGGCAGCGGGATGGCAGAGAAGACATCCGAGTATCTCGAGGCTCTAGAGGACCCGCGTGCGGAGGTTGTACTGGTATCCGGACCGGCCGGAACGGGAAAATCCATGCTGGCTTGTGAGGCGGCTGCCAAATCGCTCGACAGGGGCAGGGTTAAAAGAATCATCATAACGCGACCCGTGGTGCCCGTTGGTAGGGATATCGGATATGTTAAGGGAAGCGTCGCGGAGAAGATGGCTCTCTGGGTGCGCCCGCTCCTGAGTTACCTCTCCCGGTTTTTGTCGGAGGGGAGGGTGAAGGAGTTGCAAGCGGAGGGCAGCATACAAGTCATACCGATCTCGATGATCCGTGGTTACTCTTTGGACGACACTTGGCTGATACTCGACGAGGCTCAAAATTGCTCGGCGTCGGAATTATGGGCCGTGCTCACTCGCGCCGGAATAGGAAGTCGGATGGTGGTGATCGGTGATATGGAGCAATGTGACGTGTCCCGCGACAGCTCGGGGTTTCAGGAGCTTCTCAACAAGGTTGCTAAACTCGGTCCTGAACCACCCCTTTCTATCCGATCAGTGGTATTGACGAAGGCCGACTGCAAGCGGTCCCCGGTGGTGAAACTACTACTAGAATTGAAGGATCGTGTTATAGCAGGTGTGGTCGAATGCTGTGAGAAGATTGACTATATTGGTTATGATGACTTGCCATCCAGTGCGAACCTATTGTTACAGGAGTGGGTTGGACATGTGTGCGGTGTGGTTCCCATCTCCAAGAGTCACCTTGGGATGTCACCAGAAACCTGGACTGTTCGGCGTCCGCTAAAAGCTGTCCTCGCGGCAGTCAAGCAGCTCCATCCCAGTGTTACATTTGAGGCTGTTAGGATTGAACGTGGAGGTATTCGTCTGGTTAAGTGCCGCGGTGTTGTAGGTATGGAGACTGCAACGGCCGCCCTGGATATAGGCTTTCCGCTTTCTAAGGAGATTGATGTGTCTTCATCTACATTCCTACCGTTGCTCGCCCCCGAATTGGTAGAATGGATTGGGCCGTTACTCGTGGAGGAAGTTGAGGAGGCGTTATCGAGTTATACTTGCTTTACCGGTAGCGAGGATCCTGACGACGTCGCTGTCCGTAAGGCGGCAGAAGCGATGGTTCATCACAAACCGGTGCGTAGGCTACAACCATCTCCGTCGGCATCTCGAACTCGGCGTCAAGCAGCCTATAGTAATCCCTGCCAGAAGTACGGCTGTACTAGGACTGCCGATCTCTCGGATGGTATAGAGCGCCTCTGCAAATACTGTGTGGATCTCTGTAAGAATGATACCTGCAGGCGACCGCGTGCTACTGGCTCGCTCTACTGTACGAGCTGCAAGAGAAATTTCAGCGAAGGGGATGCCGAGTGTGAGGGATTACAAGCTGCAATAGATTATGATAATCCCGGGGTGCAGGAGGCTGACGATGGCGAGGTTCCGGAAGGAATTCAGCAGTCTTTGGACGCATCATTACTCGCGGACCTTCGTCGTCGCGATCCTTCATCGGAAACGCTCCGATATGTGAAGCAGTTGCAAGAAGAGGATCCGGAGATTGGACCCCTCATCAAGTTCCTCAACGGTGACACTGCGGGACTGACCAAAGATACGGTTCTTAAGATCCGAGCGAAGGCGGAGCGACATTATTTAGACCAGCTCTTGAAGCGCACGCAGTATGATGAGTCGCTCGACACAATCTTCCATCAAATTGTGGTTCCCCAAGCCCTACGTGCCTCTCTTCTTGACCTCTACCATAATGGGCTCGAAAGCGGCCATCCTGGTCGGTATGGGATGTATAATATGCTGAGGAGACAGTTCTACTGGAAGGGCATGTGGCGTGATTGCTCTGATTACGTCCGCCGCTGCATAACTTGTCGTAGTATCAGGAGGGGGCCCTCGGTTTACGGTAATGTGCATCAACATTCACGTCATGTTGCTGCTGCGATGCAACGGGTGGGTATTGATTTGGTTGGCCCAATTCATTTACCTCAGTACACTCCGCAGGATCAGTCGGCATTCCCTCTTTATTGTTTGGTTATGTTAGACGTCTATACTGGATGGTTGGAATTGGCTCCACTTTACACTAAGGAAGCTAAGGAGGTGGCACAAGCTATCGTGGACAATTGGATATTGCGACATGGCCCATTTTGTGAACTACTGTCGGATCGAGGAGGAGAATTCCTGAACGATGTTATGGGCAGCATCTGTCGGACCCTCAACATAACTCATCTCGTGTCCTCGGGGCACCGGCCCCAGACTAATGGGTGCACAGAGCGTATAAACCAGGAGTTGGTGCGCAAACTCAAGATCTGGGCTGAGGAGTTCGGAGGGGAGTGGTGGCGAGCCTTGCCGGTTGTCCAGCATGCTCTACGTGTTATTCCGAGACGAGATTGTGGGTTTTCCCCATTCGAGTTGTTATATGGTCGTATCCCTCATACTATGCTCGATCAGATGTTACAAGATGTGCTGTCCCAGGTGAAGCCCGAAGTTGATGATTATTATATTAAATTGAAGCGCACGCTTACGAAAATCCGTGAACGTTTTGCTTCGGTGCGCAGCTTCTCTCAGGACAGACGGGAGGAAGAATGGAATGACGAATCCCGAGTAGAGGATTTTCCTCTCGGCTCCCATGTCCTATACTATCGTGAGTTGGGTGATATGCGAGGAGGATCCTCAAAGTTGGTTCGCCGTTGGCATGGACCTTATGTTGTGGTGAAGAAGCTGAGTGCTGTCAACTACCTGCTCGCTGATAGTCTGGATCCTGGGAGTGTCTGGCTCGATTCGTTTGTGGCTCATACCAACTATATGGTCGACTGTCCTGAGGATATGAGAGGTTATTATGAAAAGCGATACAGTCTACCACCACCTGCGGATTTTTGGGATTTCAATGTCATTCCCGACTCTGTGGGAGTGGGTACGATTCTTCTCGTCGCCGGTTCCACTGACGACCGAAAAGTCTGGCATGTTGGGCGTGTCATTGAGAGGCATGCTGATAATGGCCGACTCCTATTACATTTGCATGACTTACCGAAGGATTCCAAGGCGCCCTGGCACGGACCATTCCGGCCCTCTTATCGGCACCGTTTGAATGGGGGAGTCTTCGTGACGGTGGGAAAGGTTAATGGTCGCACTTTCCGTATGCGAGTATGTGAGGTACTCGGCAACAATATTATGCATGTGGATGCTCTAGACTCTCGCGGGTATCTTCGTGCCTCAGCTGTTGCCGATCTCGAGATCTACGGTCTGCATTCGGGGCGGTCACCCACCACCTCCCCTCTGTGATGCCCAGACTTTTTCCCTATTGTTGTTTTAAAAAAAAAAAACACTCCGTCCGAGGAGGACCGCCACGCAGTAGTGACGCCCTGCGAGCGGTATAAAAAAAAGTAAAGATTGTCAAAAAGAAAGAAAACAAAAAAGAAACAAAAAAAAAAGAAAACTAAAAAAAAAAAGAAGGGGGGTTGCGTCACACTGGCTCTTTTTCAAGCACGAGATTGTTTGTCGATCTCGTGTTCATCAGAGCCTATAATCTCAATTGTGTGCGATTGAGCTGCCTTATTGTCACGTGGCGAGGGTTATCTTTATTTGATGTCACTAGTCGAGTCGGTCCGAGCACCGTCACAGCTATTTCGTTCGCGCTATTGGTGAGGGCCTGCAAGTTGTTAACGAGGGCGTGCGACTAGCTGCGATAATGTCTGCTCTATTCAGTGGTCTATGGTCGCTTATAATCTCAATTGTGCGGGATTTAGCTGCCTTATAGCTGGAATATGCTTGTGTCAAGTGGCGAGGATTATCTTTATTTTATGTCATAAGTCGGTCCAAGTCGACGGAGGTTATCTTTATTTGATGTCACTAGTCGAGTCGGTCCAGGACGGTCTAAGTCGACGGGGGTTATCTTTATTTGATGTCACTAGTCGAGTCGGTCCGAGCACCGTCATAGCTATTTCGTTCGCGCTATTGATGAGGGTCTACAGGTTGTTAACGAGGGCGTGCGACTAGCTGCGGCAATATCTGCTCTATTCAGTGGTCTATGGCCGGCGGCGATGATATCTGCGCGTTCTGAACTTTGTCGGTCCGGGAGAATGCGGCCGCAGTCACTGCCCAGTTGTTCGCATCATTGACTCTGATATGCCTCGATTCATCTAGTCGATGATACTGTCGATCAGGAATGCGTTACAGTGACCTTTGATGTTCCACTGCCTACTCGCTTACATCAGTGACTGTGGTATGGCATGAGCCTCCCAGTCAAGGATGCTGTCAGTAAGTTGTGGTTTACAATGACTTCAGATGCTCCCGCCCATAGATCGTTGGGTGGCTTTGTTTCGTCCAATTTTACCCTACGGTACATTGTTCGATGACCTGTGAGGAGAAATGCCTGTCACTATAACACCGCTGGAAGGTCACGTTATTTGACGGGGTGGTGCGATAGTACCGTAGGCTACTCACTGTATCCTTATTTCTATGTCGCCTACGGACTAGGGACAGTCCGTAATCAAGAGGACCGGGATGTGGGAGTGCGGTGAAGTTCACCGGGTGAACGTAAAGTAGATTTCTTGCAATCTCACGCACTCTCGATATACCCCAACTATTGAGACGTTAGTGTCCAATCTTTTCTGTCTGTTCCCCTTATGCCACCCAGAGTCAGAGCAGCCTTGCGTTCTGCGGGAAGTGGTAGGAGAGGCGCGACCGGAAGCCCTACGATACCAGTTAATGAGACCGCTGATGATACCGTTGATGATACCGTTGATGATACCGCTGATGATACCGTTGATGATGCCGTTGATGATACCGCTGATGATACCGCTGATGATACTTATAATATTGCCGCTAATACTACGATACCCTTAAATGCCGAATTAACAAGTGAAGTTACTGCCGTGGAATCTACGAGTTCGAGGCAGAACGTGCAAGGGGCGATTGCCGATATAGAGGGGCGAATTGGTCGGGGCCCATTAAATTCCCGTCCACAAATCATCCGAGTTCAATTCGGATGAATCATGCTCAGTATGGTTTTTCAAGACTAGCCAAGCGAGCAAGTTCAATACGCGCGCACAATATTTGAGTTGGATGAGTTAGAACAGGATAAAACTGTTATCCAAGCTTGAAAAGGAAATAAATAAATAAAGACAGACAGGAATCCTGTCATAGAATCACCGTTGGGTGTAAAAGTGCTACTGTGTGAAGTACTCCGGTAAAAAATACAATGCAGCAAAAAAAGTGGCGAAAAGCGCGACTAGCTTGAAAGCACTTCTAAATGTGCTACTTTGAAAATTTGCTTGCTGTAATCAATACCAGTCATTGCCAGGGTATAAATGTGGTTGCTAGTTCGTTACTGAGAAAGTAGCGTGTACACAGGAGCAAATAAGTGAGACTGTCGGATTTTATAGCATATGGCAAATCCGCAATATTAGCAAAAAAGTGACATTGCCGGATTGTATTACAAATGACGCACGAAGTCGCTCGCCTGATGAGATTGAAGTTTTTAATGGTGAAATAGAGGTTGAAAAGGTGTAGTAGGGATGACGAGTTGCAGTCACGAGGCTTTCTACTGTCAATGGTTTCCCCACTGAAGATCCCCATGAGCTCAGTAGGAAAAAGATCGATCCGGACTGATCCTCTACGGTCAAGCAGAGTCAGCGAACTGAATCTTCTTCCGCCGCGGTATCGGCCTGGCCAAGCCGCCGTGGAGAAAATACAGGTATTCGTCGCCTAAAATCACAGAAAATTGACAAGAATCTCCCAGAAGGCGACATAGCCATGACTTGGACTAACGACTAGCATTTCATTCCGTTAGATTATATTTTTGCTCAATTGATTCCTGTGCATAGGGGGCCTATTTTAGGGTCATGGGCTTTCCTGATTACTTCTCAAAATCCGCTGACAACTGCGGGTGATTCTAGTGGAGTCACTCCACCTTACTCAGGCCAAGCGTCGATGTGGTTGGAACGATAGATTCTACCTCGACAAGATACCCGAGTACGATCCTTTACAAGACGCTAGCTGCGTGGGGTATCGCGCTATGCTTCGAAGGAAACAGCTGAGGGCTGCGAAAAGGAAAACATCTTTCACAGTCTCGTAAGCCGGGTTGTCGAAAGATCTGCAAACTGCGCATATCTCTGCATCCCTCCTAATGTGACGTGTCTGTTTCTACACAGTTCTCATGGCGTTTCTGCGGCCCAGAGGAGACCTCCTCGTGCTCCTATGCTTGGGCGGCAGAGGTTCCCTGGCCGCGCCAATGAACGGGAACAGCTAGTGCCACAACTTGTGAACCACATACGTCAGTGTTGGCGGAGCTTCAGAATACCACAGATCCATCGAAGGTCTCTCTTTCTGTCGGCTCTTGTCGCTCAGCCGGATCGTCCAGGCACTACGCTGAAGCATTCTTCCATCCCGGGACGAGGCCCTCTATATTAGTAGCAGAAGCAGATCGATTGGCTCGTGATATCGCCCCGGTGCAGAAGGCGATGAGGGCAGTTCTGCACAGGGAAGGCATCATACAGAAACTCGGTCAGACAGTAACGTTGTCTCTCAGCCTGGGTTTGGTGGGTTTAAATCAAATTCCCAAAGGGAAAGTCTCAATTCCGTTGAGCGCCAGGGGCCTATCCAACCACTAATACATGGTTGAGTAGCTACTATTGCCCGTAGTAGCTCTTGCGTAGCGCGTCCGAAATATTGGCGTGCTTCTCAACCAAGTGAACGTTAACGGAGTTCAGACTCATGCGCTCGATCCTACAACTTAGTATAAAAGCTCGTGGGTCAGGTCTGCTAAAGGCTGTATCCTAACTGTATAGGAACTTTATCCCAGCAGACTGATTTCAGATCAAATCGACAAGGTGGTGAGCGAGCAACCCAATGCCTTGAATTCCGCACAGTTGCGCGCTGAGCTTGTCGCGAATCTGCTGGCCCTCAGGGAAGTGAGTCCACCCGCCTCGATATAGTTTGAGAGAAGTAACCGCGATGTCGTCTCATGCAGGCCTCAATTGAGTGTGTTGAGGCTATAGTGCGATGGAGGCAGAAGCTCATCCCTCCGTCATCACCTAGCACGCGTAGTCATAATGAGAGTAACGGTAAGCCTCGAGAACTCGGGACACCCGCGTAGTCTTATGTCAGACACGCTTGATGGCTCGCCACCAAAGTGGGTAGATGAGAAATCCGGACTGAACTACCTTATCAAGATGAAAACAGACACCTTGTGGCTTGCAGACGCTAGCTTTTGCAAGCTCGTTGAGTTCAGCTCGAGGAGGTAACGCTAGTGGCACTGCCACTGTGGCAGCCCTAGACCAGTTCGAAGGCGCCTCTCTGCTATTCTACATTTTGTATGGTTCCTCATCCTATTGGACTTGTTTCAACTGGTGCCGAATGTTCGAGGCTCCGTGGCATATGTAGATCCATCTCAGTGACCCCTTCCTCGTGGGCCCTAGCCTCTCGCCATCGAGTAGTTCAACCGTACCCGAACCACTGTCAACGCGTAAAGGGGCAGCCCCGAGAAGACCTCAAAAACGCACAGTACATCTCCCCCTTCATAAGGACCAGCTTGGTAGGCCTCCATCGTCTCACTCGAAAACCTGTCCGCAATTATCAGATCGCATTCGGGACTGCGAGATGAATCTGCTGCAAGAGTCAGTCCTGGACTGCGCGCAACAGCAGGACGTGACCATCACCACCCCCGACGCCCCCCGGGGTGTCTCGGCGGGCAGCGAGCCTGAGTGAGACCACTCGGGAGCACGCCGATGACACGATTCTTCTACCATCAGGCATCGGCCGCTCATTACCCTGAGCGATGACAAAAGAGGAACTCCAGATAAGCTGAGGGCTGATCGCCAAGGTCGGACCATCAACTTCTGAACTGTTGACCTTCACTTCAGAAGAAACAGCTGTTTCCAAGGGAGACGTTAAACCCAAACCAGTCACCTTCACGCCGGCGAAATGCACTCGTGACATCATGCGTGCAGAGTTCGAAAAATACGTCACGGTCGAGGCCGACCCGGTGTCGTTAGCCTCAACGAGCCGAACCTGGGCACAAGTGGAAGGTGCCGTATACGGTGCGAACCCGACGAGCACCAGAGGTGGTCCAAGCCAGGTATGCATCTGACCTTCTCAATAGGTCGACGCAGTGACTGCGAATGCACACGACTGTATGTACACTCCCTGCTCAGACATGCTGCTGGTGGATCATGGCTGATGATGGGAGTAGGATCGGGCTCGTCGTGTATCACTTGAAGACTCACCTTGTCCCTCAAGTGCATATAGTACATATCTCCGTGAAGGACGTCACATTGACAGAGATGGTGAGAGCCGACTCTACGCAGCTTCAATGGGTTGCCTCTCGCTAGGTTGTAACGAGTCTACGTGTTCACATCTTCGAGCGCTACCCTGAAGTTAGCTCCATCAGAGCTACCCTATGGTCACAAGACGAGACCGTGGCGCGCGACATACCGTATTCGTAGTTACACTGAGACTCCAACGGCAGAGGACGGTTCGAAATATGCAATAGATGAGAAAATCGAGGGAGCGTAGGCGTGCCATCTGCTCTGCTTCTCGAATAGTAGAAGGTTTGCGGTTCCGCACTCCCAAGGACTATTGCAGCCGTCGATGCAACGAATCTCGAGTCTCGTTTTTGGCTTGCGGAAAGGGCCATTGGGTGCCGTTTCGCTTGATAGGAGCTCCTGCTTAAAGCTCTCGAGATGGGCATCTCTATAGCGCGGAGTGCTTAGATTCAAACGAGCTCATTTCCGGTGGTTTCAGCTGACGCAGGAAAGTGACGGCAGACGTGGCCAAGTAGTCAACATACTACTCCCCTCGCGTCCTGGTCCAATCTAGGTCATGAACTCGAGACGAAACGTAGAAGAACTAGGTGACCCTGTCGGCCTGTATGACGGTGAGATCGCACCTAATGATGGAGCTTTGCAGTTGCAGACATGCACACTGGTGAGAAGAGAACCGCAACTCACGGCCCGTGTGACACGGGATACATTATAGTCAGAATTCAGGGCTTGATCGTCCCGAGCGATGCATCCTTGAGCTGCGACCAGAGTAGAGGACGCGTCCACAACCCAGTTGTCCTCGCCAGCGCTCTCGTCAGAGCCGGTGTAACTTCCGAAGATCTAAATACGTAGGTGGAACGGGACCGCATGCTTCTGCCGATGACGCCTGTCGAAGGCTCTCGGAGCCTCCACCTCTTCTGCAGAAATTGATGGAAGGCCTGCAATGCAATGATAGCGAGGTAGGTTTACTCCACCTTGTTAGTATTGATTGCTCTACCAGTTGGCCAGTGGGCTACCCGAGTCGCTAGCCAAGAGCAGGCTCCTGCCGTCGACCCTCGAGACGGTTCTGCAATGGGCAGCAGAGAGGTGCGTCTAACAGCGAAGACTCAAGCCGGAAGGGAATACTTCTCAGTTGTTGGTATGACTTCACGAGTGAGAAGTGGAGTTCACGGCTATCAACGTCGATGCATAGTGTTGATAGAGTAACAGTGCTATCCGTTCCCATGTTGTCAGTCGCAGCAGCGACTAACCTTCTTCACTTCTCGTCAGGTTTCGAGCGCTCCTGTGTCTGCGGTTCTCGGCATGAGCCTGAGTGTGTCTGTGCATGTGAGCCTTCTCTGAGAAACAGTACTGCTACAAGTCTCGGCCTCCTTACTAGGTACCCTATCTAGTGGGCGATGAAACTCCTATCTCAGGGGCGTGCTTGCTACCGATACAGTTCATCGGTCGTAGCGAGAAGGCTCCGCCGTTCACAGTGGGTGTCTGAGGCTCTTTCCGCAGAGAGAGTTTCCCTGATTCGAGGCAGATTTTCTTCATTCCGACCTCGGATGAGGAGTTGGTTCTGGCTGTGATACCGGCACCCCAGGGAGTGCTGAAAGTCGACGTCCTCGCATGCGTACTTGAGGTAGATTCCCTTATTTTTCTTCGCAAACATCTCGTTCGAGACACTGGACGGTGCTTCCCGAGCGGATAGTCCTGCGTTCTCCCATATAGTTCTGCCACATGTGATGGAAGAGGAAACATCGACCACGGATGCTCTCACAGGTGAGAAACTCGAGGCGATGTTGTGGAATTGTCCTTCTCTCTTATCCTTTATTGTATGAGTATTTTGCAGGTGTTGAGGTTCCAACATCCAATGGTGACACCCCCGAGACTGAAGAAACTCGAGGGAAGATGACTGGTTTGGTAGAGTTCAAGCGTTTGAGCATCATGCCCCAGTGTTCCACGGATCGTACCCTGGGCTTCTTGACTGAACCTGTGGTGAGCGACCCAGCAGCTGGGTCTCAGCTGCCGTGGGCTGACCCCGACGAGTTCTTTCTCTTTCAGGAACAATCCAGAGTGGCGAGGATGTGTCTCGACGAGCCCTTCATCATTGCCCTTTGCCACGCGTCTCTAGATGATCTCAATATTCCGTTGCATGCTTCTCTTGTGTGCCCTGAGTCGGAAATCTCATCATCACGCTGATTTCATGTATTTTTGTTGTGTTGCGCGCGAGTTTGTCTCATGACATTAATGATGGAATATTGTCCACTTGTTCTTCGGGTATGTATGCGGTAACTCTCGGATAGAACTTCCGTGTATTAATATACTTCTAGTTACGTTCCCTCATATCACGCGTTTGTCGAATTTTTGAAGGTCAGTTTCTCACAAGAGCTCGGCATAGCTGTGCAACGATTCACAGCCTGGCTCTGGGCCTCAGACCTACTCGAAGGATTGTTCCGCATCCGATGATCTGAGCCGGAGTATTCAAGATAAATTCCTAACCCTGCAACAGCGATGCCGTCCAAGCGTTCCACGTGATACTTTTTCAAGCAACGCAGCCTCATTATGGTTACGCCAAAGTCATGCAAATCATCGGCATCCTGTTGACTCAGGATACCACATCACTACTCCAGCAGATAGCTCTGCAGGCGACCATCTCAATTTTCATACAAGCTTCATCACAATATCAGCAAACTTCATCGATTGTTTCATTGCCAACAGTATAGCAGTTCCCACCATGCCATGTCACGTTTTCCTGGCCTATCCACTTAAAGTCGAATGGAACCGTCATACCAGCATTCGAATATTGGAGGACTATATAGAAAGACATCAAAGCAACCTGAACAGAGATAAAAGGCCAAAAGAAGCGATACATTAGTCGGAGGAAGATGGATATGATAGATTCCTGGTACCACCGCTTCATGGCGACTACGAGTAGCATGAAAACACCAACTTCAGCCACGATATCGACCAACAATCTCCGAATACCACGCATAAACTCCTCGTCAGTCATATCCCAGAAGGTGTCATGGAGCTTCGGGTTCACGGAACGTAGGACAACAAAGCATATCAAATAGTGTATGGGAGCGAGGATCTCCATTGCTTCCTTGCATATAGCGATACTCATGATAGAGAGTGGGCGCCTAGCAGGTTCCCCATCTTCTGATATCTCCTCGCTCGTCATGTTGGCATCGAGATCTTCCACCACCCCGTCCAAGTCGTCTTTCCGATATTTCTCGCCAGATTGGCTCTTCGCACAATCATTAGTGATGAGCTCTGCTTCCGGCCGAACAAAGTGAGTTTGCCCTCCGAGAGGACCCGTGAATGAGTATGATGTACTCATAGTAGAGGTTCGTCGAGCCATCCTCCTACGATCCGCAGTTTTGAGGAGGTCTTCGGAGACTGGCTGCTGCAGGCCGAGTATGTTTGAACCGGTACCAACTTCTGGATTCACACCGATGCTCCCGTATGCGGGTGGCTGTATTCGCGAGAAGCCCAGATCATCTATATCGCATGCGGAATGCGTTCTGGTTGGCCTTCTTGGTCTTTCCCAAAACACGTCTGACTCAAGCTGACCAAGAGCGTGAGATGCATTGAGCGACGACCCTATTGGATGCCCCTCGTCATTGCCCTGTATGGCATCTTCGCTTCTTTCAGCGTAGTGGCATCCGTAATCCACGAAGCCATTCTCGTTGAGTTGCGTTGCTTCATAGGAACTACTCGAGGGAAGCTCGACAATCGTGAATGGTAGATGCGTCCGGTCGGCATCCTCAGGTCGTTCCATACTATCGTTATCCATGCTATGTGAATCGAAGTCTCCAACTTCGACGGGAACTTGGCAGACTTCATTGCTCTTCGGAACCGATGGTCTGACAATATAGCTACAGTAAATATAATAGAGGTTCTCAGCGAGGTCTAGAGCGATCAGTAGGAAGGCCAGCCAGGTGTGGCTGACAGAACTAATGACGGACGCAGTAAAGAACTCATAAGCGTACATGGCGAACAAACTTATTAAAGGATAACAATCAATGCAATATAATCTTGCGTAGTGCTTGGCAGCTATCTCAAAGACTCCCCTGAAGATGTAGAAAGATAGGAAAACAAGCATCTTCACCAAGCCGACGCTACTAGATGAAAAGTGATAGAGCAGAGGAGAGCCAACGGCGAAAGTGAATATACCACTCCCGATGGTGATGATCATCATAACGAACTCCTTCCTCGATGCGGCCGAGCGCCTGTCTTTCGGAAGATCATAGTATATCATGCCAATTGCAATTGGTGTTAAACCACCAAGTACAGGCATCCATGGTAGGGGATAATAAGGAGTGAAAGCCGGAATGACACCGAGGAAGAATAACTGGATAACACTCGCCATGCAACCAATCTTGAAGTACTTCCATACACGG